CAGTTGGCAAAATACAGTATTGAAATTCCTCAAAACTTTTTCAACATGTTTAATTTGTTCTTTTCAGAGACTGAACGGATCTAAAGACAGTCTAATAGAAGAAACATCTCAGCCATCCCCTAACAATGTTGATGGAAAGCCCACCACCAAGATCATAAAAACTGTACAGGTGTCACGCTTCAAGGTGGAGACTTGACTGGTGAATTGAAGATGGTGCATGGATTTTAGTGTTTGAAGCTGAGAATTTGTTTATGTGTGCAAGGGAAGGAACTGACATTGACATGGTAGTAATTTCTTCAGGACACCTGGAAGTGCAGCCTGCTTGCTGGGAAGACCAAGCAATGCTTTTATCACTGACTGGATATCACATTCTAGTGATGTGACTGATTGAGGAGAAGCTGCCTGATAGACAGCCAAAAAGAAAAGTCGTAGTAAAACTGAATGATCAGCAGTTACATTTCCAAAAAATGAACAAAAAAAAAAAAAGAAAAAGAAAAAAAAAATTGATGCAACAAAACAGACTTCATGGTCTGCTCTGTAAGTGAATAGCCTTGTTCCAAAAAGTGACTGTTAATTGACATGATCAGGACCAGATTCTTCAAGATAAGTTAAACAGTCGTATTTTTGGTCGATTGTGCAATACAGTGTGATATGGGGAGAATTATCTTCATGATTTCATATGGGGATCAACTTATGTCCTGAGACATAAGGACTGATAGCTCTTACAAGGTTTGTTTTAGCCTAGCACAATAACAGATGTCATATTTTTATTACAAATTTTGAATCAAAAATAACACTCAGTAACACTCTGCAGCAGTGAGTTCCGTAGATGATACAGATTTACTTTCCCTTGGCAGTTTTAAGTGTTCTAAATTTTGAATGTCCTTTTATGTAGAGGGACTATTTAATTGAACATTCCATAGTGTAGAAATACATTTACCAATTTATAGTAAAGCACACTGGAAACAAACTGGAGAATATGTACTGACCCACTGTATCAAGAACTGCTTAGCAAGGCACTTAAGTGCTGGTTAAATGAAACTCGTGGAGTAGTATTTAAGACAGCTAGGAAATAGCCTTTTTAAATTTTAGTTTTTAACTAGATTAGCAAAATCTGCCTTAATCTCCTATCATATAAATAATCTGTCACTTTTCTCTGAGCCATTTCTACTATGTTAAAATGACAAAGGCAATATTTCAGGTATGATAACTACAATTGTTCTTTTCTATTGTCATGGTAGGAATACTAAGTTTCAATGATGCTGCACATTGAGTGGGTTATCTGCCAGTATGTATCTGAAGTGATGCCTGGCTCTTCTCTTGTCCTATCACTCTGTACAAATATCTGAAAGTCATTCCTCTGCCTCCCATTTGTCCACAGTCAGCACATATATGAGCCTTCTGGTGCTGCAAACTTCTAAGCAGCTTAGCAAAGTCTTTGTTTTTTTGTAATTTTTGCTAAGTGTAATCCTCAAACGAAATACTGAATTTGTCAAACAGCATTGTAAATGGCTTTAGTAGCTCGTACCTTTCTACATCTATCCTCCTTACACTCAACTCCCATGACCTATAGTGATTACAGTGATCCTGTGTTTTGTAGCCTGAGCAACACTGTACCAGGGAACTGCAGCCCTGTCAGGAAAGCAATACTGTTTGAGAACTGGAGTAAGCATAAGGGATTACCAATACACATTTGAACTAGCAAAACTAGTAAGTGAAACCTTGTATGATGTGTTTTATTTTCCACTTCATTTTTTGATCCTTTTTTGTTTCATGGTCTGAGGTGGCCAGGTGGATGTTACTAGCCATGGCAGCAGCCATACAGTTCATGTATTCCTATCACAGTATAGATTGGTCCCCAGGTTGGGAAATGCTGCAGTCTGCCAGGGAAGACGGATTTTCTCAATAAATACTATTCTTTGATCACTTACTTTGGACAGTTCTGCTTCTTCAGCCTCAGTGAACAAATCTAAGGGAAGGAAAGAGTGAAAAGTCCTCTGTGGTAAAAATTCTGTTATCATGGAGGTTCTTCAGAATTTTCTGAATTTACTACAGATTTAATCCTAGAACATCATTGGCCTTGCCTAAAGTATTCGCTCATTTTTTTTTAAGTCTGTAAAATGGTTTTATTGTCATTGCTCCAACTTAAAGTAATCCTTTAGGATCTATTTATGATCTTGTGTAGTATTCTCACAAGCAACAGTTAAAAAAAGCACAAACAAAACAAAAAGAAAAAACCCGACCCCAACCCCCCCAAAAAACCACCAAAAAAACCCCCACAAGCCCATCGCTTAATCAAGAGCATCGCAGTCTTTCGGAAGACCACTGAAATATGGCAAACCACATATGAACTGGTTACAATGTCTGCAATGAAAGTCACTCCTTGTTTCTTCCAGAAGGTGTACCAAGCTGCAGCATTATACGCTTGCTTGTAGTTTGCTGCTTTCTAAATCATTGTCATTAGTTTGCAATCCCTACTCAGGCACAGGCAAGTAGCACATACGTATTTCAGCAGATATGTGTTGTTACTATTTGAGAATTATCTGTACATAGTGTCCATATCTTGTCAATCTTCAAATATTGATGAAGAAAAAAATTACTTTTGAGGTTTATATCCAATCTCATGTTTTCCTGTTATGTTGTCATCTGCCTGTGGGCTTTTGTGTGTTATTGCTGGATACCATCAGCCAAATGTGTGGCATTTTACTTACTCCACTACGTCATAAAATAGGCTTCTGTCTAATGTAATAGTGAAAAGTTTCAATTCTCAAGTCATCAGAGAATTGTTTTGTAATCAAGCCAACTTTTTTGCATTTAAATGAGAAATTTACAGAGAAAGCCATCTTCTCTTCAATGAGACTATGTAGGAAGCAGGTTTTAGCAAGTCTAATGTCAGTCTAGGACACTACAATACAGTTTTGTATCCACAAAGGAAAGATTAAGCATATAATGCCTGTATTACACATTGTGCCAAAACAAGGCAAAACTTGGGACATCACTGTCAGCTAATAGAACAGAAAAGGGAATTTCTTCCATATGTGTGAGGCTCCTTTCCCTTCAAGCTTCTTCTCCTGTCATTTGAGGAAAGGCACCCTTTTTATGATTTTTTTATTGTTGTGAGACACCTACAAGTGATCAATCACTGAAAGCACTTATTGTGTCACAGCTGTGCTTTGTTGATCTAAACCAGCACTACTCCAGCGACTGACCTCTTACAGCTCTGAGCTACACCTTGCCCTTTCCACTGTTGCTACCCTTCCCCAGCACTCTTGGGCCTTTCACTGCCTAGAGGCATGGATTTTCAGATCTGCAGTTTGGATGTCAGTCCAAAATGCTTGTACCTCCTGATGGGTCAGGTAAAAAGTCAGGCAAAAGACACGAGCCGCATAACTGTGTCAGGCAAAATGTACCCTGGGGTTGATGCTACACAGACCTCTACTCATTTGGACAAAAAGGACTGATATTTGAGATATTCTCATCCTAATTCTGCTGAATTGATCTCAGGCTGACAAATATAACTTTGTGCCTCTGCATTTATCTCTTCTGAGACGTCTATAAGTGCTAAGCACTGGTAAGTTACAGAACTCTCTCAGTAATTAGCAACAACTACAACATAGATAAACCTTTTGTGAAACGTGTTTTATACAATAAGAGGGTTTGCAACCACAACACAAAAACATTTTTGTATATCTCATATTGGTTCCTTTGCTTAGTTAGCTGGTTTCTTTCATTAGGCACTACCCTTGACCTGCTGTTTTCTACACTGCACCTATTTACCAGCATCACTTGCAACTTGTATTCTAAACAAGTTCATTATATTGAAGATGTTGGTTGGAAAAAAAAGTCAATACCATTTAAGTTGCCAAATCCATTACCTTTATACAGGTGAATAATGAACCGAATAAATAGTGTGTTTTCTTTTGGGAAGGTCTGTTTAATTCAAAACTCCCTAGAAAGATGTTTGAAAACAACATGCATAAACATATCAATGTGATGCATATGTTCTATGTACATTAAGTATTCATGAAACAACTGTGTGCTTTATTTTAAATTGAGGTTGATAGATGACTGTGTCAATACTCGTGTCCAGGTTATTTAAAAGTCAAGTAAAACTTGAATTTTTAGGGCATACCATGTTTGCCTGTGTGTGTTATTTACGTTACGCAAAGGTGCAAAGCCTTCAGAAACACAGATTCATTTGACACCACCATCTGGTAAAAACAGGTGTAGTACCGATTAAAATCCACTTGAGGATACAGTTACTCCTAAGTATTTGTCCTCATAGCAGGAATTTGTCAGCCCAAGTTTTATATTTCCAGTGTATATCCACACTACTGTTTCCTTACCTAAAAATCACCAGAAAAGCAACAGCAGACTAAGCTGTCAAACCAAACACACAGACACTCTCTCCTTAATGTGCCTGTTTTCTCCCTCTGTTTGTCTCCTGAGTAAGAGTTGTGGTGGGTTGGCCTTGGCTGGACACCAGGTGCCCATGAAGCTGCTCTATCACTTCCCTTCCTTAGCAGGATGGGGGAGGGGAGAGAAAATCAGATGTAAAAAAACCTTGTGGGTCAAGATAAAGGCAGTTTAATAAAACAAAAGCAAAAGGCACATGGAGATGGGGAAAAAAAACCCCAACCAAACAAAAGAACAACAAACAAACCCAAAAGGTTTGCTTTCTACTTCCCATCAGCACGACATCCATCCACTTTCTGGGACTTCCAGTACACATAGTAGATGGCTCCAGAATAGGAACATCATAAGAATTAATGCCCCTTCCCCCCCTTCCTTATCCTTTCTCTTTAGCTTTTATTGCTGAGCAGACTCCTATGGTTTGGAATATCCGTTTGGTCAGCTGTTCCAAACAAGATCTTGCCCCCTCCCAAGATTTTGCCCACCCCCAACCTACTGAGGGGAGAATGCTGAAGAGACAGCCTTGATGCAGTAGCCAAAACACTGGTTATCAACACCATTCTAGCTACCAAGACAAAGCCAAGCACTATGAGGGCTGCTGCAGGGAAAATTAACTCCCTCTCTACCAGACCCAATACAAGAGTGAAGAAAACCACTGCCCTCCCAGCTGGTCACTATGTAAACGATATACTTCACTTGCTGCAATGTTAAAATCTCAAAACCAGCTACAACTGTGCATGTATTTTCTCAGTGAGGCTGCCAGAATGTACTTCACATTCTTCATAAACTACTACCATTAAATTTACTACAAATGAGCCCCTTTGCTGGGCAGAAGGGGCAATGGATTTATGTTCAAGAATGCCCCCACAGATAGACTGTTTCCATTTAACAGTGCAAGTCTTAATCTTAGGTGCAGGGAGTTAAAACATGAAGAGTAATTTGGAACAAGGCAGTTTTCTTTCTGTACACACCTCTCAAAAGTTCTGATTTGCAGCTTCTGGTATGGAGAGCCCTCTTCCAGAGAGGGCCGGAGGCATGTAACAGGAAGGAGGGTTGGTACAACGCCTAGCTCACAGATCTTTGTTCTCTTGCTCTCTTAAAACCACCTCAGAATCTACTCTCCCTTTTGCTGTTTAGTACTACTATCTCCAACAATTGGTCAGACACTGTATTCAGGTAAAACAGAGGAAGGGGGAAAAGAAAAATAAATAAGTAGTCTGACATTTTATTCAAGGGGACAATCCAGTTAGCCACTCATACAAAATAAAAGGCAGTCCTAATGCTTAACACCATATTTCATGTTTACCAACATTACTATTTTAGTAATCTGTGACCCTTACACCCACCTATTCCTCCCTCTACCTCACTTTTTTTCACTTTCCACCCCACAATGAAACCTGTATTACACACTGAAGCTTAAGGTTCTACATTTTTTCCTGTTGGAAGGTAATTAACATTTTAGATATCCATCATCAAAACCTGGCATTAGCTGTTGCTCTCTAGAGTTGTGTTTTTTGTTGTGTTTTTTGTTCTTTTGTATAAAATCTTAGAAGCTACTCCTGTCAGTCTTATACTTCTAAGAACAAAGACTCATGAGCAAAACTCCTGAACAGATGGTATCCTCAGGGAATGTAATCCCTAACAGAAACCCTAAACTTTCAAGTGCATCCAGTAATTACATGTTGGATCATAAAAATTAATTACTGTTGTCTAAACCTCCTTCCCTCTTGACAAACCAAAAATGAACTTAGACTTAGACTTAGTATTAATAATGTGCTACATTCAATAATGAAAAATCAGACATTGGAAGATATACAATTTCAGCATTTGCTCTTTTTTATGTCAAGTCTTCCTAAAAAAACTCAAGCAGCATTTCCAGTTGTTGTCTCAAGAGTATTTCACTCTACTTAAGTTTAGTTGAGTACCATATTACAGAGCTGATCAAGGTAGTAATAAGCCAAGATTACAGCTTTCCATGTTGTAGAGATACCTTTACTGCTATTTTTAAACCCAGATTTGCTACATTTGAATTTCTACTTTTGCTCACCACAATACAAATCTCAGCTAACCCTATCTCTGAGTACTATAATGGTTTTACATCCCAACCACTTGGCAGCTCCCAGAGTTTGTTGAGTCCAAAGGGGTACATTAGTATCCCAACAATAATTCAGAGGAAGTCAGGACTGTCAAACAGAAGCAAATGCTATTATAGCTTGGGAAGGGTAGAAATTCTAAGAACAGAAACATAAATCTTCATTTTTTTGTCTACATAAACATTACCAGACACTGCCCCAGTAAGTTAAAAGTGACTTGTGTTACTACATGCAGGCTTAATAGTCCATCTTTTAAACAGTTTTTTGTTTCTTATGGATTAGTGCTGCACAGCCAGTTGATCTCAGGCTGGTTCTAACAATTCTTCCTGGGAAAAAAAAGTAAACACATTGTGAGACTGGACATATGGTAGCACATAACTGTTTTCAGTAACATCCTCTAAATCTGTGAGACTGATACAAAATTACAAGGATCAGCCTGCCCCTCATCTCTTTGGGAAAAAAGTGAAAAGCTGGAGTGTACAAATCTAATTTCTAAAAAGCCTACAAGCAATAGGAGCTCTTTGCCCACCTAATCAAGATTTCAGATACTATTTACAAGCTGGTGGAAGTAATAACACTTTCTGGATGATGGGGTTTAACAGAATGTTTTGTACTAACTCATGCATACAATATGACTGTGACATAGTATACGGCAGTTTGACAGAACACCAATAATAGAAAGACAAGATTTAGTAATTTTATGTTGAAAAACAAGCAGCAGCCCTGATATTATATACATTGCTAATAATGGATTACACATACATTTCTCCTCCCAGTGTCCAACAGGTTCATACAAAGAGTGCCCACCTTACTCCTCAGCCTTGCAAAAAATTCAGTGTCTGTAGTGCCAAAGGTCTGGATAGACTTCACAGGTTCATTTTCTATAAGCAGCAGTGGTAAAACATTAGGTGTGTCTGTGTTTTTTACGTTGCTCAAGTAGATTTGCACATTTCATTGCATGAAACTTCCCAATGCCAGTATTTTCAAGAGCATTGAAGGAGTTTCATTACTGTACTGAAGATTTCTGCTACATTTTTTCCTGGAAAAAAAACCTAAAAAAACTCAGTGATGTAGTACTGGATCATTCTTACATCACATTTCCAGTACGCATCAAGAAGTTCCTGGCTTCAAAGACTTGGATTACTGGCCCTGTCCTTGCATATGGAGGTTACACAAACCACAGTTTCAGCAATGAAGCAATGTTTGATAATGCATGCAATTTTTATTAATGCCTTGTTTATACTACTGAATTTGGTTTTGGCTTTTTCAAGATTTTACAGTGAAAAAACATCTTGTGTGTAAGATTCTAAGCTTTCATGTTTTGCCATGTCTTTTGATGTTTTCAGTCCCTGTATTCTGAACTGCTCCACTGTATTACCCCCCCTAAAACAAACATGAAAAGGCATAGGCTTCTCTTGAACACACTGGCAGCGACATACTGGTCTAATAGGCCACTCACACCAAATTTTTCGACTTTATGGTTTCCACTTTGCTTTTGCTAATGAGAATGTAACCATGAGGCTATCTCACTCTCACTGTTTCAGTTCTAATTTCTGCTCTAAAGTCATGCTGACAAACTTCTTTTTCAACAGAAAGTATGCTTTATTGTAGGAGTAGCCTGAAGGACAGAGCTGCACAAGAGATTATTGTTACCCTAAGGGGCAAGTTGCAGGACAGCTCAGGGCAATCAGTACTTTGTGGCTTTTTCCTACACGCTCTTCTCATGCTCAGAGGCTTTCACCACACAGGGCTGTCTCCAGGAGCTCCTAAACTCCCAGCAAAACACACTAGAACTCTGTAACAAGCATTCACAGCATTAAACATCCTGGTGTGAATCTGGCAGCCTTAACATATACTTTACACTTCCAAAAATGCATCAGGGAAAGCCCAGAAAAAGAGTAGACTATATATTATTCAATACCAAACAGTCCTATAGCTGGATTAAATCTCTTAATATATTGTTCTTACACCAGACATTAATAACAAACCCTAACATCCACAAAAGCAAACCACATTTTTTCACCATTGAAGTAGATTTTCAAATTTTCTGTAGCTGAGTATTCTCAAGCTGTAGATATCTTTTTACAACAGGAAAACTAGAGGCCACACAGTACTATTTATTTGCAGATGTATGAAGTCATGATAGACAGGTCTGCTAAACAATGCTAAAAGTGGCCATTATAATTTTATTTTTTTCTCTTTTAATAACAGTGAGATATTTCATTTTAAAAGACTGAAGTATAAAATCTACTATCTAGCTGCTCAACCATATAATTTCAACAAGTTGGTTTTTATTTTTGGGGGTTTTTTTGTCCTTGCAAAAACAGGGAGGAGAAAGGCAAATAATCAGCTCCTTAAAACAGTTTGAGCAGGAACTCCTGTTTGCCTTTTTTGACACCTCACTCACTCCGGGCAGGAATGAATGGGCAACACAAAGGCCAAAATTCAAGTATTAGAACTGATCACCCCTGCAAAATCAAGCTCACGGCACTTAAAAAAGAGCAATTCATTAATTGCCAAATACTTAACATTTCACAATTAAATTATTGTGAATAAATGAATATGTGATTGTGAATAAATGAATAAATATTTTATACAGAACACATATTTATTAAGAAAAACCAAGCACACCGTGCTCTAGGGACATCTTTCGGTCATGCTGGTACTTGCTGAGGCCATCGACAGACTTCCACTGGTTCTATCTGGGAAAAAAACCCCACACTTTGCTTGGAAGAGCGACAAAGATACATGAACAATACAAGGAGCCCAGAAAGACAACTTGAAAGAATTGCCTGGTTTCCAAAAGACAGCAGGCTCTGCATGTTCCCATCACCACAGTCGAAGATTACAAGTTGATTAGAAGTTGATCACAACTGCTCCTCCGCACAGTCCTGCTGTGGGACTGATCAGTGCCCCACTGCTCCCGCCTTGCCCCAGAGGGCTGAACCACTACTCTCGAAAGGGGGGGAGGACGGCATGCACTGCCTCCTCCTCCTGCAGCACAGAGATGACATACTGGGTCTGCTGCACACGCGAGGCTACACCTGTGGCCGTCCAAGCAGATGGACTCCTGAGCAAGTGAATCCGCCTGGTGAAAGGCACCAAGATGTGAGGCAACACCGGCCGGGGCCACCCACCGGAACATGTTGGAGACACCCTGAGGAGGGAGATGGGGAGCTCCACAACACTGCCCGGTGTGCATGTGTGGTGTGTGCCCAGTGCAGTGTGAGGGGGTGGCGCAGGGGCTGGGGTGGAGGGAGTTCATGGTGTAGGAAATAAATAAGGTGGTTTTATTACAAGCAGAGGTTTCCACGGGTACCTCCTGTTGAGATGCCTAGAAGCCATTTTGTTTGAAGAGGTGAGGAGCCATTTTGTGGTCAAGGACTAGTGAGCTGCTTACAGTTACTGTTGCTTTCAGTTCCACTTACACTTACTTACTGTTGCTTACAGTTACTGTGTGAAGGTGGGTGAGAAAGTATGTAAGGCAGTAAGACCAGTCTGGGCTCACTGCCAGGGGACCATGCGGCCGGGACAGGGAAACAACCTGGTAGGTTGGTGGAAACAACCTTGTAGGTTCGTTAAAACAACCAATGGACTGCAAGAGGACGATTTTATTGCCTTTTAAGGAAGAAAAGAAGTGGGACTTGGCATGGGAGGAGTGAGGCAGTGGTTATATAAATCAAGGGATCTTAAAAGGGCTCACCTCTCCCATTCAGGGTGTGCTTAGACCTGGCCACAAGTCTGGTGCACCCAGTGAGCTGATAATAAAGTTCTTTGTTTCACTTCATTTGGTCATCTCTGAAATTTTAATTAGAGATATTTCTCACAGTTTGGGAGCTTGTCCGGGATTCAGTGTCCACCAGTCTGGTTGGGGGATCAGTGAACCTGGAAGGCGTGGCCCACCGATTTCAGCAGTCCAGAGGCCTGAGCCCTCTCCTGGGACGGCAGCGACTGAGGACCCTAGGATGGATGGCATGAAACAAAGAAGGGGGGGGAAAGGAAACAGGATCCGGTATAAAAATAAATCCCCAGCAACCGTTAAACCTCATGCATGGCACCCAGTAAGAAAAGAGAAGAGCTATCCTCGAAGTATTACCGGACGGTTGTGTCAGAGGAGTGTGTGTGTGTGTGGTTGAGACATACCAAAAGGTGTGAAGTGAGAGCAGGGTCCTTCTAACCGTGGTTCCATATCCCTGCAAGGGGACTGGCTGGGGAAAGGACGAAATGGTTGTTGTGGAGCAAGACTGAGGTAGACCTCGGGGTAAAGGACCATGGGTGGTTCCAGCTTAAGAAAGAAGGTTTTTGAGTGGTTCCGGCTTAGAGATAAGGCTTTTGAGTGGTTCCAGCTTAGGGAAAAGGCTTTTGGGTGACTCCAGTAGAAGAGGAGGCTAGGGAGTGTACGGAGAGTGTGTGTGCCAAGGGAGGACCATATCCCAGAGCTCATGTGTTCATTCCTCAGGATGGGGGCCGGGAAAAGTAAAAGGTCCCTGGGAAAGAAAGGGTCAGGAAAGACCCTAGGCATTCCTCAAGACAGCCCATTGGGTATGATGCTGGATATGTCGGATGAGCTGGGAGAGACTCAGGATAAGGATAAGGCAGTTATGATCCAATACTGTAGGTATGAGTGGACTAAAGGTGCTATAAGATCAGACAATGTTTACTGGCCCCAGTTTGATTCATTTGAAGATTGGATTTGTCAAGCATTGAATGTTTACGTGAATAGAAAGAGACTGTAGAGGAAAGTGAATATGCTGCTTGCTGGGTAGGGTATATCGGGCTGTTCCTGGTCCATACAGTTAGTAGTGATCAAAGTAGTGACCAAAGTGACCAGAAAAAGAAGGGTCCTGAGTGGGATCCTTTAGAAAATCCTTCAGGTAATATGATCCCAAATCCTCCCCCATATAATCCCAGGGAGAATGAGGTGCAAAACTTGGACTCAGCACCTTCTCCAGGTCCTTCCCAGACACAGGAAGAGAGAGGGTTTGGAGACACCCGGGGAACTGTATCCCCTTAGAGAAGTCCCAATGCAGGGGGCACAAGGGGGTACAGGCTATGTGAATGTCCCTCTGAAGTACGGGAATTTGGGAAGGGCATAAAGAAACTACTAGAAGATCCATTAGGTCTGGCAGAGCAATTTGACCAGTTTTTAGGACCTAATATGTACATATTGGATGAAATGCAACCTGTAATAGGGATATTATTTTCTGTGGAGGAGAGGGAAATGATCAGGGCAACAGGAATCCACATTTGGGACAGGGAACATCCCCAAGGGGTGCACGATCAAACTGGAGAGCAGAAGATGCTTGTGGCTCATCCAAATTGGAATCAGAACACAGAGGAAGGAAGACAAAATATAACAGATTATCAGAATTGTATTGTGAAGGGAATTTGGGAAGCAGCACCCTGGGTGCAGAATCACCAACTGAATTGTTGGAGGGACTGAAAAAAGACATATAGCAATATTCTGGAGTTTGGTTAGATACTCCAGTAGGGCAACAGTTGTTGAAGGCTAACTTTGTGACTCATTCATGGATAGATATTAGGAAAAAGTTAGAGAAATTAGAGGATTGGAGTGAAAAAGATCTGAATGAATTGTTAAAGGAAGCGCAGAAAGTATATGTTTGGAGAGATGAAGAGAGACAGAGACAAAAGACCCTGCTGATGGTAGCCACAGTTAAAGAGGTGAATAAACAGGGGGATAGACAGGTTACAGGGCAGGGATGTGCAGGGACGTCACAAAAGAGGTATGGTAATCATGAAGGCGGCGAGGGACAAGAAGTTCAAACTTTCAGAGGACCTCCTTGGGTGCTGCAGAAGTTAGGAACGAATTTTGCTTGCCTGCCTGTACAAGAGGGGAAGGAAGACTGCTTTTATTGTGGGCAGAGAGGATATTTCAAGAGAGAATGCCCGAGACAACAGAAGGACATTCGGAGTACTTGGACTAGGGGTCCTTTAGGGGTGTCAGGGGCTCTATCTCTTGGATCTAGAAACAGAAAGGGAACCCTTGATAAATTTGAAATTAGGACCCCAGGAGGAAGACACCACCTTTCTGGTGGATTTGGGAGCTCAACTGACTTGTGTAATTCAGCCCCCCTTAGGAGTAGAAGTATCTGATCAGAAAGTTATTGCAATGGGAACTAAGGAGAAATTTGAAGTTTTTGTGGCACCCTCTGTATTGATACGAGGGAATGGGAAGACATTGAAAAGGGATTTATTAACAGTGCCCCAGGCTGGGACAAACTCATTGGGAAGAGACTTAATGGGGCTATTGGGGATAGGACTAATACTTCAGGGAAAAGAACTTAAACTTTTTCTATTAAGTGAGGGTTTAGAAATGAATCCACAGGTATGGGCCGAAGATGGGAATAGGGAGAGACTAAAAATAGAACCTTTTTTGGTAAGACTATATATGGAAGCTCCTGTTCGGATTAGACAGTACCCCATCTCCCTAGAAGGAAGAAAAGGATTATCCCAGATTATAAGGAAATTGATTCAGGATGGGCTGTTAGAAATTTGCGTGTCCCCATGTAACACTTCCAATCCTACCAACAAAGAAAAGTGATGGGACGCATCGATTAGTCCAAGACCTTCATGAGATCAATAAGATAGTTCGGAATAGCTATTGTACTCATGCAACAGTAGTATTGATTCACAATGCTTTGTATAAAGAGGTAAGGTACTCACATATGTATTAGTTAGGTGGGTTCATGTAAATTTTACTGTATATAAAAGCTGTAATACATGTCCAAGTCATGAGGATGATTTATTGCAGCCTAGGTAGTTAGAGGAAAAAAAGATAAATATGAGAAAAAGTCAAAGGGCAAGCAAATGTCACCACTTAGAGCTTCTGGAGAAGCCTATGTACTTTCAGGAGTTCAGCATTAGTTTGCAGAAACTAGTTTTTGTGTCATTATGCTTAGACATACCTCTAAAACAGACAGGGTATAGTAGTGCTCTGTTTATAGCAAAACTAAATTAATGTTAACATTTATTTTTTAGCAGATTCACCTTTAGTAGCTTTGATTTGTCACTTGAAATTCTGTTTTCTACATGAAGAAGATTATCTTGAGCATTACTTCAAGCCAAACTTATGCATGCATAAAGGTCAGTAATGATACTTTACTGTAAGTAAAGTGATACTTACAATATACAAGTAGTTCATCTTGGGGAAGACGCTGATGAGATTGTTGATGACATTCAAGCCAGTAAATCAGTGAAGATCAGTAACTCTGTGTTACTGATACAGTCAGGTGTTGATTTGCAGCTCAGGGACAGGTGCCTGGAGAGAAGTTTAAGCCAAATATAACCAGTCCAGATTTTGATTATGTAAGTGAACAGTATGAAGAAAAAACTTTAAATGTTTGTGGCATTTATTATTCCTGCCTGTGGATACAGGAGAGCTTGAATAGCTACGTGAGAATCATTCTATCTATAAAACACTAACTGATTATATGAAAAATGTAATCATTTCAGGTAGAATCCCCTTGCTCAACCTGCTGCCTACAATGCTTTGGATACATCCCAAGACATGATTGACTTTCTGGGCTGCCAGCGGACGTGGCTGGGTCCATGTTCAATTTTTCATCCACCAGGATGCCCTAGTCCTTCTCCACAAGGCTGCTCTGAATCCATTCGTCCACTGGCCTCTATTGATACTGAAGATTGCCTGTTCCTGGGTGCAGAACCTTGTACTTGGCCTTGTTAAATTTTAGGAGGTTCTCATGGGTCCACCCCTCTAACCTGTCAAGCTTTCTCTGAGCAGAATCCCTTCCCTCAAGCCTTTCAGCTTTGTAGTATCTGCAAACTTGCCAAAACAATCAGATACCATGAGAAAATGGTGATCAAAGTGCTTTTCATATAGTAAATATGGATTAGGGCTATTAGTCACACATCCCACGGTTCTCTCCTTACTGAAAAACTTGTAAGATGGTAAAAATAATCACTGGAACAATTTACAAAGGGAGGGAGATGCTAATGCATTGCTGGATTTATTTTCTTTTTCAATCTGATTCCAATCATGGTTAGAATTTTTCTGAAAGTGGCAACATAATTCAAAAAAGGAATTACTTCCTATGATTACTGCTCTAGATGATCACAGCGAATCTAAATTCCTAATGTCTGAATCTGTGATCACATTATTTATTATAACTGTCCTCATGAAACCAGAACATGATAAATTGAAGGCACAACTAACAACAATTCTTAGTTATTTAGTGAATAAAAATACCCTCCTGAGGTAGAAACAGATACCTTACTGCCACATTCAAATAGCTAGAAGCTTTAGCAGAAGGTGCTCCTGAGTTGTGCTTTGACAGGTCAGGGCACTGCTATCTGTTGTTCAGATTATTTATTGTACATATTGCATGGTGTCCTAGTTAGGACAGCTGAGATCAGTTCATCATGGTGGGTGTAACCCAAAACTGTATTCTATAGCCTTCCATGTCATTTCCCAGAAACTAGACTATTGTTGTCAATAGACTATTCGCACCCCCTGCCCATAGAGCCTGACTCCTCAGGCTATAAACTAGGTGTTAAGAGGCCTGTGAGATAGGAAGATGTTTCTGTCCTCACACCCTTTGTGGAACTCCCCGCCCTGAGGGGAGCACTGAACATTCCTGCCTGAACTGGAGGATATATAATCTTGGAGTTTTGGAACATTTTTCAACCCACTCGTGGGATCCAGAGGACGGCTGCATCTCATCGCTCTCAACCAGACTTAGACCACCACTGGACTGCGATCACCAGTTCTGGCCAGACTGCAGCAGCTCTCCCACCCGCAGGTTCTTCCCCTCTCCCTTTACTTTGGACTCAAACAGGGCCCAAGGAACACCACTTTGTTCATGCCCCAGGGCACCGGGTTATACATTTGGTTTTTGTGGGTTGAGACCAATTGTTTGTTTGTATTATTGTACTTACTGTATTATTTTAATAAATTGTTATTCTGACTTATAATCTCTCTTTTGAGTTGAGTTCATTCCCCCTGCTGGTTAACTTTTAAACCAGCACACATGGTTAGCAGCAGTGAATTTAGCTGTTCTGATACAAAGCCCTGTGGACCCTTAGGGGGAATCTGAATTAGACCATTGACCTGCAGTATGCAGTGGCTGAGTTATTCCAGTCTGTTAACTTAGCCAGAGGGCATGACTTAATCACCCTGCAGTGATTAAGACAGAATATCTTATCTACCTAGTGAAAGACAGGAGACACTCAACCTTTTTGGCTTTGAAGTTATTGATGAGATTTTTTTTTTTATCTAATAATTGAAATTATTTTGCTTCTTATCAGTAGGTGATATTTTTCAAGATGGTTTCAGCCAAATTTGTTGAAGGGCTAGAGAATATTAAGTTCTTGAAGGTTTTCTGAAAAATCATCATCTGGCTAGCCCGAAGTGGAGCATGCAGTTCTTGTCATCTCATCAATTGGAGAAAGCATGGGAGGGAGTGGTGGTAATATCTACACTCACTGATATATGCATACTTCTCCACGATTTTCTTTTAAATCCATAGAACCACCTTGCAAGTGCCACTGCAACATTCCAGCAGCAAGGTACCTGTGTCTCCAGGTGCGTATGGACAGGATTTGTGTTAGCACTGAAAGAGCCTATTTTGGATGGTGTTGGCTTTAGCTCTGTAAAATACTTCACATCAGCAGTGATCTCTTAATTCCCTCTTATTTTGCATTTTCAAAGTGTAATTCAACAGCTGGCAACGGACATCCTTAGAAGACGGCTTCCCCTCGGTCCCTGCCCCCCCACTCCCTGGGAAATATAATGTCAAATCAAGTTTGTTCTTGATAAATTTACCACTACACGCAAGGGAGATTGCAGTTCAATATTCAGCCTCACTCTTCAAGGGCAGTGTAGTAGAAACAGTTCTGGCTCCTCATCCTTTTCAGTAGTCATCGATTTCCTGGGAGCACTAACAAGCAGTCAAAAGCTGAATCTCTGATAAACATCATGTTTTGTTCCACTCTGTCTGTGTGTGTCTTTAGTTTTCCTTAGTGATTTCTAACACTCACTTGTAAAGCTAAAATTCCCTGTTGTACTTTCTTCAGCAAGAAAACTAGTTCCTGCCTTTCCTGGCTTCTGGTCTCTTGTTTCTGTTCCCAATATCAATTAACTGCTCCATGAGTTTTGTCAGTGGTGGTATCTGTGGCAGTGTGCCACAAAACAGGCCACTGTAATGGGCAGGACTTCTTAAAAACAAATGATTTCGCTTTGGGTACACTAAAATGTGCAAAAGAAGAAAATAAAATAAACAAAAAATAGTTAAATATAGCCTGACCATAGTCAAGAACTGTTAAACGTTTGTGCTTTAGTCCTAAGTGTGTGTTGCATAGAAAGTTTGCAGATCCATCTGTTGTTTTCTTTCTTTTCCTCATCTAGAATAAGGGGCTGCTGTATATACAATGTTTTAGAGGTATTATAGGAAATCCTACTACAATATGATAAAGAGAGTATCTCGAGGGAGCATCATGTGTAGAAGCTGAAGTATCTCTAAAGGGATTTGTGAGTCATTAGTGGGACATTACTCCTGCTCTGTTGTGTTGAGTGATTCGGAGCACTCTCAAAGTCAGGCTTTCTTCATGCCTTCACTGAATTCCCACCAAACTTTCAGAGTGTGATTTCCTTGGCTTTTTGTTTGCTTCATTTCTTGACGTCTTGTTTTCCTGCCACCCACCAGAGGTCAGTATAATGCCGAGAGTGGAGAGGAATAAGGCCAGGACAATAATGCTGAGTTTCTGGTAGTTGCTAGGATTACAGGAATTACTCGAGTGTAGCAGAGATCTGTCTAACAGTGTACTTTATATTTTGTCAGTGTCAGCTGAATTAGGGAAAGGACATGAAGCCAGCAATAGTTCAATATGAAGTCACCTGTAGATAGTGAGATTGTTAGAGGTTGACAAACCTCCAGCAGTATAAAGCTTGATATGTCTCTCAGAGGGTGTTAACATTAATTAGCACCATTTTGGATATTCTAGAGAGCCAAAGAAATGGCCAAGTCTTTTCAAGTTCTTGTCTCTGTGGCTCCTTGTGCTAATATACGTATTTGCAGTTTGAATGAGAAAGTTGTTTACTTGATATTCAGTTTTTCACCATGTATTCAGTTGTATATTCTTGTATTAGGAGGCAAGATGAACAAGTTCTTAGGATTTATGCCTTTATCATCTGACATGTTCTTATCAGTTTGAATAGTTTTCCATGGAAGACTTTCCTGAGTTTCAGGCTCTTTTTCCTTATTCTTACTACATTTTCCTGTGTTCATTAGGAAATAATCCCACCTATTTTGAGGTAGAATGCCTGGATATAGCATACAAAATTCCATCTGAGTCTGCACTACTGGCTTCTACAGAAACACTGCATTATTTTTATTAATGTTCCAACTCTTATTCATTAACAGACTTCAGTGTTTCCATTCCATTTCTAACAGTACCTGTTCATTAAATAAATTATTCATTAAATAAAGGTTTTCACTGGACTACAGTGACACATGAATTTCCTTCAGAAATTATGATATTAATTGGAAATATTTTAGGACACCTAGTATAAAGGATTTTTTCTCCTTTATTTTTTTTATTTGTCATTACTGAATTTGTTTGCCATTGTATTTGCCTGTTCAGCTGACTCATGCGGGTCCTTTGGAAGTTCCTTTCAGCTTTGCTGGTAGTCTCAACAACTATGTATGTTTAATTATAAAACCCAGTAAAATACTTGGTGCTTTAAGAATTCTGTTAAATCTGTAAGACTTTTTTTTTCAGAAATTTTGGTAGCCACTGTATATCATAGGTCTTTGCCTGGTACATTGCACTTGGAGCTTATTTCTTAGAGTGAACGTTTTTTCCTGCCTGTTCTGTGATTTCTTTCCCTACTAGAAAGACAATAACCTAGGTTATCCTGGATGAAAAACATATTTTGAGCAAGTGTCTTGTCTCCCTGTGGTGTGAATTCAACAGTTGACTCTTTATTTTGTGGTATTTCTGGGGCCAAATATTTGGTAGAAATAAGGACAAGAAATACTTAACCCAGGCTCAGGCAAATCAGTAAACTAGATTTTCATGCCCTCTGAGCATCCCCAAAAGAGGACTCATTTAGTAATGTGTAGTGT